CAACACACACACATTCCCCCCCACACACACATTCCACACACACACACACACACACACACACACACACACGGCGGAAAGAAAAGTATGTCCAAGTACCACGATGATTGAAAATCCCAATTGCAGAAATCCCTTCAGTGCCATCCCACTGTGGAGAAAATGTCATGTCCAACACATCAGACATGTTAACTTCTTAGGGTCAAATTCTGAAAGTGTCTGATTTATTTTAAAAATAAATTATACCTTGATTCTTTTCAGGTTCATGTGACGCCGGTCGGGCTGCCTCAGATGCCATCACGATTCAAGGTTTGGGGTGAGTTTCCATGCGTCAGTGTCCTCGTCCAGCATGAGAGAACTGTGACCCCTCCACTAGACAGCTGCAAAGCCACACAGTCTGCAGGACCAGCAGGGCCACTTCCCAGGTCTCCCCGGGCCACCCACTCCAGGGCTGGTCTGAGAAAGCTGAGGGCAGGGCTTTCGTCCGCTGGCTGAAATCCAGGGTGCAGTGCTGGTTTGCTTCCTGGGCTCCAATCCTGGGAGAAAAGCGAAAGCTGGTTTCTAGGTTCTGTGTAATAATTCTTCACAAACAGATGTAAGTAGAGCTGGCCAGGGAACGAAGGGAGCTGAACGAATACGCCCACCAGGGGTGGCCCAAACATAAGCGCATCCTTGGATCTCCCCTGGTGCTTGGCGCCCTCACCCACTGGACTACAGAAAGCCCAGACTGCGGAGTGACCCCAAGGGCTCCCTCACGAGGCCCCTGCAGGAGCCCTGGGAACCCCATGACGGGCCTCCCCCAGTCAAGTGCTGTCCCCAGCTCTGTGGCTGCCCTGCCTGGGGGGCCGCTGCTGGAGGGTCCTCCTCCTGCTTCCAGCTCCCCTCCCCGTTGGGAAACCCGTGGGCCTTCGTGGCGGGAGGGGTGCTGACCCAGGGCCGGCGGGCCTCGCCTCGTCCTGCACTGCCAGCCTCCTTCTCGGGACACCTTCCTGGGGATCCCCTCAAGTCCCTTTCCAGAACACGTCCTCAGTCTAACGCACAGGTGCGTGAACGTCTGAACTCCAGCGAGGAGGCTGACACCTTTCCCACAGGATCCCTGGGCCCCACGCAAAAAAGGGTTTGGATGAACATGGTCTCCACATCCAGAACATTCCATGATGGCCAAGGAGTGCAGGAACATGGAGCATGCTAAGGCAGGGAGCCAGTCATTCAGGACATACAGATGACATCCAGTGCTGGGGAGTGGGGTGGGGAGGGGGGACGCCAACCTGACACCCCTGACGTCCAGCCCCAAATCTGATAACATAAGGTCTGAGTGTGTACGGTGAGGACGCAGAAACAGATCGAAATGTACCTGGAGTAGGCGAGGCTTGTTAAGAGTCGCCTCCTGAGCTGAGCGTCTCTTCTGAAGCTTGCTTGCTGCCATTTTCCCACCACCCCATCCCGCTGGCCTGGGAGGGTGAGGACTCCAGTGTGGCCTTGGCCGGCTCCCCGCAGCGCTGGGCCTGCAGCTGGTGTTCGTTCTGTTAACGAAGCCCTTGCCTGCTGTCTCCCAGCTCCCCATGCTCCCCAAGCGCAGGGGCCGTCGACACCCGCTGCTTTCCCCATGCACCGTGAGCCACAGCACACAGGAGGCCCCGAGATGCCACCTGCTGTCCTCGACAGCTGTAGATCTTCCCCTCTGTGCAGATGAGAGAGATCAGCCTACCTGCTCACAAAAGCCGCCACTGGCTGGGCGTCTTAGACTGACTCGTCTTCTTAGAATTTCAGATAAACACGCTTCCTTCACAAATGCCGACGGTAAAGTGACGGTCACTCCACACAGCAAATGCAAGGTTGCCGTTAACGGGGTGCCCATCGCCACCAGGACAAAGCTGCAGCATTTGGTAAACCTTCCTGCAGGCCCACAGAATGTCCTAGGTCCCCCCCAAGAGCTGGGAGGGGACAGTCATGTGAGGTGCCCACATCACAGACGTGGCAGGAAGGGGCGTTCACACTGGCTCCTCTGCCATGGTCCGGGGACGACATGGCACCGCTGCTGGAGGGACAGAACTGCTCCTGACTCGCTGTGTGGTCTTGGGCAAGTCACTTCACTCCTCTGACCTCACCTGGAAAACAAGGAGGGCTGAACTAGGTGTTCTCCAAGGTCCCTTCCAGCTCCAACATTTTGTGCCATTTTAGATTTTTCTAAGAGCCTGTCGCTGAGAGGGGTTGAACAGCATCTTGCAAACGTCGCTGCCTCTTCCTCTCCAATCTGCCAACTCTGGGGCCCCTGCCAGCTTCCCAGCAGCCCTGGCCCCTCCCTGGTGGCCAGAGCCTTTCAGACAGGACAGGCACATGGGGACTGGCCACTCCCCTTTTGGAAAGCCCCTCAGTGACCTCCCTCGGCCTCCTGTCCCTGGCCACACCGCCCTTCTTTTGGTTGTTCAGCAGCTGTCTCTGCCCCACCAAGACTCACCAGCCGGGAGGGCTTAGCTTAAGCATCGCCCCTCGGAAGAGGCCTTCTCTAGCCTACAGTCTGCGTTAGTCCCCGGTGTCCCCGCAGCCACGGCTGCACTCTCCCAGCCCAGCCCGGAAACGCGTGGAGGGAGGGCCTGGCTCTGGGTGGTCCCCACAGACCCCCAGGGCCAAGGGAGTCACGCCCTCAATGCGTGCGATGAAGGTGAATGCAGGAGCCAGACGCCACCTGCCCTCCTGTCTGGGTTTCTCCCTGTCTGTGGGATTCCTGAGGGAAGGACATTCCTCAGGTCCTTCTCACTGGGGAGGTTCACCTCACCCTCCTTGGTCTCAAACCCCTCCTAAGCCCACCGTCTCCTCCCCAGGACCGCCTGATTTTGGGATCCAACAGCACCTACCTGTACGTGGGATTTCCTTCGGAGCGGGGCAGTGAGGACCTGAGCAGGTTCGATCACGACTTCTTCCAGTCGGAGAGGGCAGCCGCGGAGGGAGTCAGCGCAGACAAACTCGGTGAGCCCCTCCTGACTGCTGGCCTCTGCCGTGTGCTGATCTGACAGCAGCGATTTCACACTCTGTCTCTCTGCTTTCCTTAAGAAAATCATCATTTGTTTTGTCAAAGTCTAATGTTTACAAAATTGAATTATGATTTCCATATAGAATGAGTACACGTTAAACATTCAACTCGTTAAATGACGAATGAGGGTAAAGATGGTTCAAAGGGGTAGAGAAGAGAGTGGGGTACACAGCAAATGAGGAAGAATGCTGAGCTAGAGAAGCCGGTGAGCGGCCTCCGGCCGCCCCCAGGGGCCTGCTGGGCCTGCAGAAACAGTGGCCCAGCTCAGGAGGGGCCGGCTGGGGCCTGCTCTGGGCTGGAAGTGCATGGCCCAGAAGAACGCACAACCGAGGCCTCTGAGACGGAATCTCCCCTTCTCCTCTGAACGCAGCCCTCGGCAATACCCGAGGCTGGCCGCCCGCCGCTGCCTGTCTCCGCTGGGGCTTTCACAGGCCTTCCTGCTCCTCTTCCCGCCCCGATTCACTGTGCTCCGGGTGGTTCCCCCAGAATCCAGGTGAGGCTAGAGCCCGCTGAGATCTCAGTGGTGTGCGGGCTTCCTGGAGGGGCCCCAGGCTTTGCTCAGCAGCGGGACTGTGCCTGAACTCGCAGTAATGACACCGCTGGTGGAAAGTGGGCAGACCCACCTGTGTGTATGCACGAGTTCCTCCCTGTTCCCTACACCACAGTGTTTCTCTCAGAATTTCGGCAAAATACATCGATTTGAAATTCACCTCCTTGCTCTTCTGCTGCCGAAGTTCTGAACTTTTAAAAACAAACCAGGCCGGACGCGGTGGCTCACGCCTGTAATCCTGGCCCTTTGGGAGGCCGAGGCGGGAGGATCACGAGGTCAGGAGTCCAAGACCATTGCAAACATCGCTGCCTCTTCCTCTCCAATCTGCCAACTCTGGGGCCCCTGCCAGCTTCCCAGCAGCCCTGGCCCCTCCCTGGTGGCCACAGCCTTTCAGACAGGACAGGCACGTGGGGATTGGCCACTCCCCTTTTGGAAAGCCCCTCAGTGACCTCCCTTGGCCTCCTAACACGGTGAAACCCTGTCTGTACTAAAAATACAAAAAAACTAGCCGGGCGTGGTGGCAGCGCCTGTAGTCCCAGCTAGTCAAGAGGTTGAGGCAGGAGAATGGCGGGAACCCAGGAGGCGGAGGTTGCAGCGAGCTGAGATCGCGCCACTGCACTCCAGCCTGGCGACAGAGTAAGACTCCATCTCAAAGAAATTAAAAAAAAAAAACAAACAACGAACCAGCAAGACTCTGTCATACCAGGCCTGGAAAAGCCATCTGTTCATTGACTTGCTCTCCGAGGTTGACTGTGCCGCTGCCCTCGTGGCCCTGGTGGTGCCATGAAGCTGAACCAGCCCCAGACCCTGGCTCGGACCCTAGTGAAGACTTGGGTCCCCAACAAGGCAGCAGCTGTGTGAGCCGTTTGGGGTCAGACCTCAGGGCCAAGGGCACTGTCTGCACCCACAGGCCGGGGGGTCTCTAAAGAGTTGAGATTTGCTGATTAGAGGCAGTACCAGCCTGGGTCTGGGAGGGGGATTGATCCTTCCATAATTTCCACAAGCCTCTCCTTCAAGCCATCCCAAGTATAAGAGAAGCACAGGTCGCTTGTGTGCCAGCAGCAGCTGGAGGTCACCTCCAGGCCTTGTGTCTAGCCAGCCATGTCTCACCTCGCCCCACCCTCCTCCAGTCTGAAGCCACCTTGGCTCAAGGACCCTGAGACCAAGAATGGGAACTGGGAGCACAGGGTCTGCTGCCTGCGGCCCGGATGCATGGGTTGAGATAAGCAGCTACATAAGGCGAAGTCAGGCAGTGTCGTTTTCCCCTCAGTTTTTTTTAAATTACATGCTTGTAATTTAAAAATGTAGATATTTGATGAACAGCTGAACGAATGAACAAATAAGCATACAAATTTATTCATGGTAACTGGGCATGGTGTCTCATGCCTGTAATTCTAGCACTTTGGGAGGCCAAGGCAGGAGGATCGCTTGAACCCAGGAGTTGAAGACCAGCCTGGGAAACAAAGTGAGACCTCATCTCTACAAAATATTTAAAAAATTAGCCAGGCATGGTGGCTTGCACCTGTAGGCCCAGCTACTCAGAAGGCTGAGATGGGAGGATTGCTTGAGTCCGGGAGGTGGAGGCTGCAATGAGCAGAGATCATGCCACTGAAGGCTAGCCTGGATGACAGAGCGAGAAAGCTAAAAAAAAAGAAAAAGAAAAAAAGAAAAAAAAAAAGGGCCTGGTATGGTGGCTTATGGCTGTACACCTCTAATTCCAGCACTTTGGGAGGCCGAGGCAGGCAGATCACCTGAGATCAGGAGTTCTAGACCAGCCTGGCCAACATGGTGAAACCCCATCTCTACTAAAAATACAAAAATTAGCCAGGTGTGGTGGCACACACCTGTAATCCTAGCTTCTCGGGAGGCTGAGGCAGGAGAATCTCTTCAACTGGGGAGGCGGAGGTTGCAGTGAGCCGAGATGGCGCCACTGTACTCCAGCCTGGGCAACAAGAATGAAACTCTGTCTCAAAAAAAAAAAAAAAAAATTCATGGTGGAACAAGTGACTGACTTTCACCTCCCCTGTGATTGTTGCCAGGTGCTGCGGACGGTGGAGACGGCAAGGCAGACCCCAGTGTCCTGGCTGCGTTCCAGGACTACATCAAACTGATGCCGCTGGTTGCAGAAGCAAATCAAATGAGTGAAGAGCTGAAGAAGGTAATTTAGCTAGAGCCAGGAGCTGGTATGCCAAGTGCCCCTTGTGGGGCAGGGGCGCCTTCTCAAGGACTCTCAGGGAACTAGCGACAGAAGCCAGACTGCCCAGCCCAGTCCCGAGCACCATTCCTTTCACCAACAGCCTACCAGGGCCATCAGGATCCCAGACCAACTCTCACTGGCCCTGAGCAGGCCCTCCCAGATGGTCCTGGGGCCTCTCCGGGTCTAGGCACCCTGATGGCTGCTGTGACACAGAGACCACCCGGGCCGGGGACAGCTCCCTGGAGACATGAGCTCCCATCGGCCGGAACCTTGTAAGAGATTTAATCAATTTGGTAGGGACTCCAAGTGTTAGTTCCAGGATATATCGGAGAAAAACTGGTGCTCTGTCCTTCCTCTTAGTGGGAAACCCAAGGGGCAAGAGTGGGACACCTTCTTAGAGAAAGTCTTATCCATTCGTTGTTTAGGAAGCTGGAGGGTGGGAGGATGAAAAAGCAATTGCAAAAGTGGTATGAGCTGTGAATGTAGGATTTTTTTTTTTTTTTGACAGGGTCTCACTCTGCTGTCCAGGCTGGAGTGCAGTGGTGCAGTCGTGGCTCACTGCAACCTCCACTTCCCAGGTTCAAGTGATCCTCCCACCTCAGCCACCCAAGTAGCTGGGACTACAGGCGTGCACTTCCATGCCTGGCTAATTTTTGTATTTTTAGTAGAGATGGGGTTTCACTATGTTGCCCAGGCTGGTCCTGAACTCCTGGGCTCAAGCAATCCACTCGCCTCAGCCTCCCAAAGTGCTGGGATTACAGGTGTGAGACCTGTGCCCGGCGAATGTACAATTATTGAGTGAGAAGCCTTTCTTTTACCAGGGACTTAACATGGAATTGAAGGTGAAGAATTTGGCATCATCAGATTCCAAGGGCTATGACCTACAGAAGGAGGTCTTGGTGAAGGTGACCCACCACGGGACTCACGAGGTGAGGCCCCACAGGGACGGGACTCGGGAGGGGAGGATCGGGGGGACGGGACTCGGGGGGGAGGATCCGCGGGGACGGGACTCGGGAGGGGAGGATCCGCGGGGACGGGACTCGGGTGGGGAGGATCCGCGGGGACACAGGTTACCTTTACCAGCTGCAGCCTCCGGAGACCCAGTCAAGGGCAAAACGTATTCCAAGTGTGAGCTGGAGCTCTGGGGAACAGGGGGATCCACTCTCCCGTTCCCTGTCCTAGGTCCTCCCTCACAGCACCAGCCATTCCCTGTCCTGGACCCTCCCTGGCAGCACCGGCTCCTGGGAGCTTCCGAACCTACCCTGCACTGAGCATCTGTTCATGCTGAATATGACTCAAAGGCTTTGGTACCAGAAAGGGGCCTGGTAGTGGTGTCTGTGCATGTACGTGTGTGTGTGTACATGTGTGTGTGTACATGTGCACGCGGGAGCACAGACTGCCTGTCCGCAGCAATGAGAAAAGCCACCCTCCTAGGTGCTCCAGAAAAGGCCGTTTCACCAGCTGCACTGGCTGATCCACTGGACCTTACTGTCAGGAAGGTCAGTTTTAGAAACTGAAGACCCTGCTTCCTCTCCCTCCGCCTCAGAGGAGGAAACAGAAAATGCAGGCCCGTCTTGCAGTGCCCCTTGCGCACATCAGGCCCCTGGAGCAGCCCTCAGGCTTCGGGCTCCAGCACACTCAGCCGTAGCCCTGCCAGGCTGCGCCTCCGGCCCCCACCCTGGGCTGCTCCCTCCCTGCTCAGTAACTGGAGCTTCACTTTTCTGCTCATCTGCTCATTGCCTGAAAATTGCCAAAATGTTCTGGGCCAAGACTGATTTTTGTAAAGCTTTTAAAAATTGTGAAATATGTGTGTTCGTGCCATGTGGTCAGCACCTGTGCACCCACCACGTTGTCCATGGGGGTTTCGCCCTCCAGATGCTGGGGCTGGGCTGCCAAGACCCTGCCCCAGGGAGGAAACCGAGCAAGGATCCTCCTGGAGTCCAGCTCCTCAGAGACCGGCCCCTTTCCTGCAGGTCTGTGTGATGTGGAGAGGGTCTCCCATGAGACCCTCACCCTGGGGAGTCAGGCTGGACTTCTCTGCCATGTTCCGTGAGGCCGTGGGAGGGGATCCCTCAGTGTGTTTGTACTTTGCATTTTTCTTTTTTTCCAGCAAAGGCCACTGGGGCAAAGTGGCTCTGCTGCCCCCATATTGTATGTGCTTCTTTCAGGCCAGGCTTTCCCCTAGAATTTGGCTTGGCAGTTTCCTGTCTTGTCCGACCTTGTTTTAAGAAAATCTGTAATTCTAAAAAATCCTTTTCTATGCTATTCTATTTTGTATTATAGTCTAAGATAGTTCGAAAAATAGCCTTTTAAACTATTGCTAGCAGAAGGGTTACTGAGTGCACATGAAGGCATTCGTGAGCTCCTGCTTGTCATTACCAGAAACAGGACAGGAGACGGAGTTTTCACACCATCATTGGGAGAATTGTATGGGAGGGCTGAGGGCCTGGATTCAGGTGAAATGTCATTTTCCTTCAGTCCAGCATCCTGTCACTGGGACAGGCAGCCGTTTGACAGGACTGTCACTGGGACAGGCGGCCGTTTGGCAGGACTGTCACTGGGACAGGCGGCCGTTTGGCAGGACTGTCACTGGGACAGGCGGCCGTCTGGCTGGACTGTCACTGGGACAGGCGGCCGTCTGGCTGGACTGTCACTGGGACAGGCGGCCGTCTGGCAGGGCTGTCACTGGGACAGGCGGCCGTCTGGCAGGGCTGTCACTGGGACAGGCGGCCGTCTGGCAGGGCTGTCACTGGGACAGGCGGCCGTCTGAGTGGGCTGTCACTGGGACAGGCGGCCGTCTGAGTGGGCTGTCACTGGGACAGGCGGCCGTCTGAGTGGGCTGTCACTGGGACAGGCGGCCGTCTGAGTGGGCTGTCACTGGGACAGGCGGCCGTCTGACTGGGCTGTCACTGGGACAGGCGGCCGTTTGACTGGACTGTCACTGGGACAGGCGGCCGTTTGGCAGGGCTGTCACTGGGACAGGCGGCCGTTTGGCAGGGCTGTCACTGGGACAGGCGGCCGTCTGAGTGGACTGTCACTGGGACAGGCGGCCGTCTGAGTGGACTGTCACTGGGACAGGCGGCTGTTTGACTGGACTGTCACTGGGACAGGCGGCTGTTTGATAGGACTGTCACTGGGACAGGCGGCTGTTTGATAGGACTGCTTCTGCTTAAACACACCAGGTTCTCTGTTAAGGGGTTGTACAGTTTGTTTTTTTTTTCCATTTTTCTCATGAAGATATGAATCTTACCAATCTGTCATCCTCAAGACTGTTCATTTTTACATTAAAACAAGTAAGATCAGGCCCGGCACGGTGATTCCCATCTGTAATCCCAGGATTTGGGGAGGCCAAGGTGGGTGGACGGCTTGAGCTCAGGAGTTCGAGACCAGCTTGGGCAACATGGTGAAACCCCATCTCTACAAAAAATACAAAATTAGCTGAGTATGGTGGTGAGCACCTGTAGTCCCCGCTACTGGGGAGGCTGAGGTAGGAGAATCACCTGAGCCTAAGGAGGTCGAGGCTACAGTGAGCTGTGATCACGCCACTACACTCCAGCCTGGGTGACAGAGTGAGACCCTGTCTCAAAAAAACAAGCTTAGTGCCAGTGACCTGTCCTCAGATGAAGCCTTGCTTTCCTCAGGAGGCTTCTGGAAGGCTGTAGTCTGAGGGTCTCTTGTGACATGGTGTGTAGTTGGAAGCTTCTTGAAGGCTGTGGTCTGGGGGTCTCTTGTGACATGGTGTGTAGATGGAGGTTTCCGGAAGGCTGTGGTCTGGGGGTCTCTTGTGACATGGTGTGTAGGTGGAGGTTTCTGAAAGGCTGTGGTCTGGGGGTCTCTTGTGACGTGTGTAAGGCTGTGGTCTGGGGGTCTCTTGTGACATGTTATGTAGATTGAGGTTTCTGGAAGGCTGTGGTCTGGGGGTCTCTTGTGACATGTTATGTAGATGGAGGTTTCCGGGAGGCTGTGGTCTGGGGGTCTCTTGTGACGTGTGTAGATGGAGGCTTCTGAAAGGCTGTGGTCTGGGGGTCTCTTGTGACATGATATGTAGATGTGGGCAGTGCATGTGAGACAGGCACTTCTGAAGACTAGAAGACCAGCAGAGACAGCTGTGGGTCCCAGCTAGACACACGAATGGTACTTTGCTGGCTGATCTTGTACGTGTTCACCTATCCTCCCCGCTGACCGTGTGGACGGTGACTGCTGCTGCAGCTCTCAGGGAGGACGCAGTGTTGTGCAACTGTTGGAGTCACACATCACAGACAAGCCCAGGAGCAAACCAGGGCTGTGTGAGGGTTGCGGTGGGTTTTCTGACCGGCAGATGCTGCCAGCTTGTGGTTAGCTTTCAGCAGTATTCACCCAACAGCTGTTGGCTCTGGTGAGCAGCACATCCCGCCAGGGAACTCTGAGTCAGGCCTGCAGAGCCCACTCGGGAGCGGGCGGGGGTCAGCATGGCCTCGCAGCCAGTCCCGGAGCCTCGCTGACCTGTCTCCTCTTCAGGCCAAGGATGACATGCAATTTTAACTGACACCAGGCCTGTGGTCTGATATCCATAGGTAATGAGGCAGTGAATTCATTTATTATCTAGATTCCCATGATCTTAGTTCCCTAAAGTCTTTAAGAAAAAGCAGCATAAGGCAGTGCAGTGGCGCACGCCTGCAGTCCAGCTACTCAGAGGCTGAAGCAGGAGGCCCGCCTGAGCCCAGGAGCTCGAGGCTGCAGTGAGTTAAGCTTGGGCCACCGCACTCCAGCCTGGGTGACAGAGTGAGATCACGTCTTAAAAAGAAAAGAAAAACACACAAACAGAAAAACCACAATGACTAGAACTCCCGTTGTTCCCTGCCGCCCCACATTCTTTTCTTTTCTTTTTTTGAGATGGAGTCTCTCTCTTTTGCCCAGGCTGGAGTACAGTGGCGTGATCTCAGCTCACTGCAAGCTCTGCCTCCCGGGTTCACCCCATTCTCCTGCCTCCGCCTCCCGAGTAGCTGAGACTGCAGGCGCTCGCCACCACGCCTGGCTAATTTTTTGTATTTTTAGTAGTGACGGGGTTTCATCATGTTAGCCGGGATGGTCTCGATCTCCTGACCTCGTGATCCGCCCTGCCTCTCGTGATCCTAGACTGCCTCTAGGAGAGTACTATGGTTCTTCACTTTGAGGCCAACAGAAAAAGATGCAATGTTTTCAGAGTCCTGAGAATGTCCTTTTTATGAAGAGACATCATACATAGAATGACTTATCTGTTGATTTTCGCTTTTCAAGTTGCCCAGAAAAGGAGTTGCTAGTTTTACCTGACATTTATGGTCTAAAAATTACCTACCTGGAATCCCTTATACTGTGGCTTCAGGTTTTGTCCCCTCTCCAGACCCAGTGTTGACAGAGGCTCTGTCCTCACCCAGTAAGGAGGAAGACAGTGGCAGGCTGTTGTCCTCGATCTGCTGCGCACTGGGTGTGAACCCCTGAACAAGGAAGGACACCTGCTTGGGTCTCTGCAGAATGAAGCTCAGCATGCCTGCCGTGCTGGGCCGGGAGGGCTGTGGGAGTGTCTCCTGTGCGTGTGGATGTGTGCCCGTGTGCCCAATCACGGCGGGATGTGTGCCCGTGTGCACACCAATCATGGCGGGGGAGCCACCTCTCAGCTCTTCTCCAGACTAATAGCCCTGCATCATCTTCCGTGGTTGCTGTTAATGAATGACCAGGCTCATTAAATGACACAAACTTACTACCTTATTGTTCTACACAAGAAGTCCAAACTGGGTCTCACTGGGCTAAAAGCAAGGTGTCGACAGGGCTGTACTGCTTTCTGGGACTGAGGAAGAGAATCCGTTTCCTGGCCCTTTCCAGCTTTTAGAGGCCACCTCCCTCCATCTTCAAAGCCGCCACATGGCCTCTCTCTGACCCCGCAGGCACTGTCATCTCTCTTTCTGACCCGTTTTTTATGCCTCTCTCAGCCACACTGAAGACCCTTGTGATTTCACTGGGGCCACCTGGATACTCCAGGCTAATCTCCGTATTTGAAGGTCAGCTGATGACAAACCTTAATTTCCGTTTGCCATGTAAAGTAATATATTCACAGGTTCTGGGGATTAGGACTTGGGCATCTTTGAGGACCATTCTGCACATCACAAGCCTAAACCTTCGTTTCTCCTGAGAGGGTCTGTTTTCTGACCCCTTCACCGTCTCCTCTAAGTCATTTCCTAGGCTCAAGCGATGCTGAAGCAACAGGTCCAGGAACGAATATGGTATTCTCGACGTCAGCAAAGCTAAGTTTGGAGAGAGTGGGATGTGGCCCTGAGTACCTCAAACCCAGTCAATGGAGAGAGCGTGCTGGGAGAAATCAGAGTGATGAATTGTTAAGAGCAGCAGATGAAATCAAGCACTGGTGACATACCTCTGTGTTTCCAGGTGTGAATTTTGCTATCCCCTGGGGACCTAAGGAATGAGGAGGACATCTAGCAAAGAGGCAGGTGTAGTAGAAAGAGTCCTGGACAAAACCGAAAGAGCTGGGTGGGTTCCAAACAATGGACCCTCAGGAGAGAAGCCAGGTGGACTGAGGGGCCTCCCCAGCCACACTCCCCTCCTGGCCTGGCATCTGCCGCACGGGACGCTTTCCCATGCTGAAGTCCCAACCTGCTTCAGGAGCCAGAAGTAGAAGCTGATTTTCCAGCTCAGCCCTTTTCTTGAGGTAGGGACTGTGAAGCCCGACCTCATTCTGTGCTGTCACCTGACCTTTCTGTGGGCACAGGCTTGTTCTGAGCTATCAGCTCTGTCCTACACATTGCCTCCTTACCCTTTACTGTCCTTTCTGGATACTCATCTGCTTTCCCTCTTTAGGCCACAGGCAGTTTTTACAAAAGCTAAAGTCTTTGAGCAATCCTAAGCCAAGAGGCCGGCGGGGCGTGGTCTGGGTGCCAGGGCCCTCACAGGCACTCAGTGCAACCTTTCCATCTTTCTGAAGAAGAAATCAGCTCAAGAAGAGAGCCTCAAGCTTCCATGACCAAGAAACCAAGCTGCCCAACAACTCACTGCCTTTACCCCAACAGCGCTCTGATCACTTGGCTACCTGGAGCTTCTGGGCTGCCCAGCACATTGTATTTCCTGTTGCAAATTAATGAATTTAATTGGAAAGGTTTCAGACTTTGCGAGCCTGGTTGATAGGACAGCATTCCCTTGTTGGAAAGCTGTCCACGTCAGTGTCTGAGGTTGTAGGCCTGGGGTTCTCTCTTGACTATAAAGAAACAGAGGAAAAGGAAAATGACAACCGGAGAGGCTGCATCTGGGCGGCCGCTGGCTTTCCCACTCTGTCCCACTGGGGATCTACTTAAGTCTTCAGTGTGAGTTTAGCATCCACATCTGTGTGCATCTATCGCATGAGACTGTCTTCCTTTTCCTCCAGGCAGGGAGATCCTTCAGAAGGCCTGGTCTTACTTTGACGTGCCAGGGTAACGGGCTCTTGTTTAGTGCCTCTTGAATGCATGAATGAACTCTACTGTTGGTGATATTACCTATCCTGTCTTCAGTGAAATTAGCTCTCTCTTAAGGATTCTATTTAATCCCCTTAACATCACAATCTTAACTTGCTTGGACCCAGCCTAACCTGAGGTCAATGTTCACCTCTTCCGTTTGTAGAACGCATGGCGAGGAGGATGTGGTTATCGACCCTTTGGAGCTGCTGGGCAAGAGGATGGATTTTCAGATTCACATTGTCCGGTGTCTTGGTGTCAGCTGGATGAAGGAAGATGCAAAGCGGGGCATTCAGATAGGGTGCCAGCCTGCACCGCGGAACAGAGCCACACATGTCATCTGCCATGTGGCCCCTGGGGAAGGCAGCCCAGTCTTCCTTCAAGTTTTAAAAATGAGCTTATCACAAAGTTTTCTTAAGTTTCTGTTTAACTTTAAGATGACTATTTCCTCATCTATTTAATAGAGGAAGTTTCTCTGTTTAAGATGACTATTTTCCCTCATAGTTTCTCTGTTTAACTTTAAGTGACTATTTCCCTCATAGTTTCTCTGTTTAACTTTAAGTGACTATTTCCCATCTATTTAATAGAGGGTCCACATGCCTCTCCAGGTCTCTGGCCTGTGGTCAGTGTGTACTGAACTTTTTACAGAACTGAAGCAGAAATTCTAATTATCAGAAAGAACATCCAGTAAAACCGTATTATCTAAGCAAAACAGTTTTTTGGTTTTAGTTGGAAACAAAAGGACCATATTATGATATGGCAGAAGCATCAGATATGCTTAAACAAACTAGGCTAAAAGGATATTGAAAGATAATGCAGGCCAGGTGCGGTGGCTCATGCCTGTAATCCCAGCATTTTGGGAGGCCGAGGCTGGCAGATCACTTGAGATCAGGAGTTTGAGACCAGCCTGCCAACATGGTGAAACCCCTGTTCTACTAAAAATAGAAAAATTAGCCAGGCGCAGTGGCATATGCCTGTAATCCCAGCTACTTGGGAGGCTAAGGCAGGAGAATCGCTTGAACCCTAGAGGGAGAGGTTGCAGTGAGCTGAGATCACTCCAGCCTGGGCGACAGAGTGAGACTCCACCAAGCAAGAAGAGAAGAGAAGGGGAGGGGAGGGGAGGGGAGGGGGAGAGGAAGAGAGGAAGAGAGAGAGAGAAAGAGAGAGAGAGAGAGAGAGAAAGAAAGAAAGAAAAAGAAAGAGAAAAAGAAAAAGAAAAAGAAAGAAAGAAAGAAAGAAAAGGCAATAAAGGGAGACTCTGAAGAACAAAAACCAAATCACTGCCTCACATGGAAAATTAACCGTTTTTGATTATCTAAGTAGAAGGGATTTATTGAAATCCGTTTTGCCTGTTTTTTGTTTTTGAGACAGAGTATCGCTCTGTCGCCCAGGCTGGAGTGCAGCGGAGTGCAGCAATCTCAGCTCACTGCAACCTCCGCCTCCTGGGCTCAGCCTCCTGAGTAGCTGGAACTACAGGCATGCACCACCACACCCCCCGAATTTTTGTATTTTTTATAGAGATGGTGTTTTACCATGTTGCCCAGGCTGAATTCCTGGGCTCAAGCAATCTGCCTGCCTCAGCCTCCCAAAATGCTGAGATTACAGGCGTGAGCTATTGCGCCCAGTCTGGCCTTTTAAAAATTTTATTATCATCTATATAGTGATGATATCCATGTTGAACAAGGTGCTGCAGGTTGATAAACATGAAAATCAATCACAGGTCATCTTTCATCTGACACATGGGCTGTAAATCTTTGGCTCATCTGTCCCTTTTCTTTACAAATGTGTCCCTTCTGGTTTTAAATTTTGTTTTATGTTCTTCTCAGGTACAGAATTTACGACCTTCCAAACACTATCTATACCAAACCTGTATGGAAAAGTGTGAATCCACAAATCGAAGAGACTGTCCAATTTGCAGCCTTAACTGCATCTCAGGAGTTTCTGAATTATCTGCAGACAAATGCCCTTATTGTTGACCTATGGGGCCTTCAAGGCACCTTGCTCACGTATTCTCTCATCAGATACACCATACATTGAGGGCTGCAGAAGAGGCAGAGGAGCGAGGTAGTCAGGGTCCTAACAGCGGTGGGCCAGAGCCATCTGTTCCCCTGGGCTCCCGGGCTCTCGTCCAGCAGGGTGGTTACTTTAACAACTTCTCACACGACACTGGAGCTGGGCGACTGGGATGTTTCTTTCTTTGACTCTGTGTCTCCCCACTACAGAAGGCTGCACCGAGCTGAGCTGCTCTCAGCTGGGCCTCATGGTCACAGGTGAAGGCCACATCCTGGTAGACACCAAGAAAATTTCCACTGTGAAGGATCCAAGCCAGGTGTGTACATATGACATTAAAATGGGCATCCCAGGTGGCTAGAAAATCTCTGACAGCTGCTTGATGTTCCTTCCCCCTTAACAAATGTTTTCTTTATTTACTCCTGTGTACCCTGAGGTGCTTAAACCCTGCTCACCATACACACACCCCCGTCCCATTTGATTTTCCCATGGTAGCAAACATTGCTGGTCTCAAAGGATATGCAGATGATACAGCAAAAGATGAAACTGACATGTTTTCTCGTAGGCGGCCTCAGACCAGATACCAGAACTTTATCTGAAGCTGCTCAAGCTAGAGCAGGAGACAGAGCTGCTCAGGAACATCAACAGAGCCCTGAGAGAGGAGAACGTGCTTCTCAAAGAATCACTTGCGAAAACTGCTTCTGGGCAAGGTGAGAGGCTGCTCCAGGCTTGGCTGTTTAGCTTATTCCTCGCCTCCTACATTTGGGATGTGTATTTGTCTTTTAATAAACAAACTTTTAAATGAGTTAATTCACATCTTGTTTCATAAACAGAAAATGCAGGACATTTCTTTTCTTCTGCCCTGTGAGATTTCTCATTTCCCTTGGATGGATCCAAACTGGTGCCTGATAAATGCTGATGTAGTAGAATGCCACCAAAATAAGTAAGTATAGCGATGCCCAAAGAAAGAGAGCCATACATCAACGCTGCCTTTTCTTTCCGCCTCAGCCCAGAAGCCTTCCGACACTCTGAAGGTCAGCGGGATGACTGCGCAACTGCCCTCCGCCAGGGAGACGAGTCAAATGTGCACACAGCAAGCCGGCTCCGACCGAGAACTCGCCCGGGCTCTGAAGGTGTTCTACCAAAGCATGCACACGGCAAGAGGGCAGCTTTTCAGACTCAGACGGTATAAACCTCCTGTAAGTAACTGGAATCCCGGGAGCACACAGAATTTCTTTCCATCCAATTTAGACATTTGATGTAACTGTACTTCCTGAGCTTGGAGATGTGTGTGCTGATGCGGAAGAGCAAGGCGAGGGGGCCTTGCTTGACCTGCTCTGTGAGCGCGAATCTACCGCCCTCTCAGGCCGCCATCCGTCTCTGCTCTGACCTTTTTATTTTAGTGCCACATCCGGCTGCTTCCATGCAACCATGTCACTGCATGATTGAAATCCATTCACTTTACAATACAATATACAGACTACCCTGTTCGGTTTATCATTATAAAACCAAATGTAATTCATCATATTAAGAGACTACAAGATAAAATAATTTGATGACTTCAACAGATGCAGAAAAAACATGTGACCAAATTAAACATCTTATGACAATAAAAATTCTTGGCAAACTAGGAATAAAATGGACATTCCTTAATCTGATAAAGGCAATCTTAAGACAAACACACAGTGGACAAAATGCTTAGTGATGAATGACTGAAAGCATTTCCATTCAGATCAAGAGGTCAGGAACGCCAGCTTTCTTGACATCTGTCCTTTAGGTGCTAACTAGTGCAGTAAGGCAAGAAATACAAAGTATGATTGGAAAGGGAAAGAAAAGTAATTACAATAATAGCATACACTTATGTAACACTAAGTGCTTTACATTTACTGACTCGATTCTCGCAGCAACTCTATGAGGCAGGTACTATTATTCACCTTATTTTACAGTTCATGGAACATGTTTAAAGACACATCACTAGGCCGGGCGCGGTGGCTCACGCCTGTAATCCCAGCACTTTGGGAGGCCGAGGTGGGCGGATCACGAGGTCAGGAGATCGAGACCATCCTGGCTACTAAAAATACAAAAAATTAGCCGGGCGCGGTGGCGGGTGCCTGTAGTCCCAGCTACTCGGCAGGCTGAGGCAGGATAATGGCGTGAACCCGGGAGGCGGAGCTTGCAGTGAGCCGAGATAGCACCACTGCACTCCAGCCTGGGTGACAGAGCGAGACTCCGTCTCAAAAAAAAAAAAAAAAAAAAGACACATCACTCATCTGTGGCAGGGCTGAGGTCCAGACCCCAGTTCCCAAGTCTATACTCTCCCACCACACTGCGCTGCCTCTAGTATTATCCCAGATGACATGCTTGTATAGACAGAAAATCCCCAAGAATTTATAAATGAATTACAAAGTTGCTGGATACAAAAATCAAGATTTAAAAATTAACTGTATTTGAATATAACAGCAGCAAGCAGAAAATTACTTTTAAAATAAAAGACACCATTGATAACTGCATCAAATATATGGAATACTTAGGCCTATAGCTGACATTAAATATGTAAGAGTTGTATGGAGAAAATTTTAAAACTTATTTGAGAGATGTTTGAAAGGATATAAATAGATAGAGAAATTGACATCTCTCTGTGGTTTGGAAGATTTGTTACTGTACATCTGTCAACTCTCCCCCAAGAGTCAGTGTAATTCCAATGAAATGTAATATAACCTAACAAGATAATTCTACAATTTGTATGGAACTGCAAAAGCAAAACCTAGCCAGGATGAGAGCAGACCCAAGAAGAGGACAGAAACACTTGCCCTACCTGACATCAACACTTCATTTCAATGCCACTGTAACAGAGGCAGTAAGGTATGGTGTTGGCCCAAAGATAGATAAATCACCAAAGAAAAAGAACAGAAACTCAGAAACAGATTTATTCAGGACTACAGACTTGATATACAAGCAAGAGGAACTGCAAATCAATGTGGCAAGGATGGACTTTTCAATAAACAGTGCTAGGGGAATTAGGAATATGTATGGGGAAAAATGAAACTGGATTCCTATCTAAAACTACCCCAGAAATCAATTTCAGGTGAGAATTAAAGAGCTAAATGTGGAAGGCACAACCCTAATGCTTTTATTTATTTATTTATTTATTTATTTATTTATTTATTTAAGTATTTTAAAAATAGAGATGGGGTCTTGTTATGTTGCCCAGGCTGGTCTCGAACTCCTAGCTTCAAGCGATCCTCCAGCCTCAGCCTCCCAAAGTGCTGGAATCACAGGCATCAGCCACCACGCCCTGCCTCTAATACTTTCAGAAGATACTTTAAGAGGTTGTCTTTATGACCACACAGTGGAAAAGGATTTCTTACGCATCACACACACACACACACACACACCCACCCCTAGCTTTAAAGAGGGAGACTGGTAAGTTCAGCTGAATTAAAATGGTGAACTTTGTCCATCAAAAGACACCAAATGAAAGAGCCAGAAGGAATGGGAAAAGTTCTTTGTAACACATTTAACATAGAATGAACTAATATCCAAAATAAAGAACTACTACTACCCAAAAAGAAAAATAGACAACCCAGTAGAAAAAAAAAACGGTCAAAAGATTTGAACAGGAACATCACCAAAGAGGAGACTAAAAATGCCAATCAATACATGGAAAAGTGCTTCATCGCATTAATAGTTTGGAAAATACTACCTGATACCACCGTGAGATACCATTATTAACCTTCCGTACTGGCAAAAACTGAAAAGCCTGACAATATCAAGTTTTGGTGGAGACATGAAGTAACAGAAACTCTCACGTATGGCTGAGAGGAGTATAAACTGGCACAACCATTTGAAAATTATTTGGCATTTACTTATTAAAAGCTGAAGATACTAGAATCTAGAAGCCTGCAATTCAGCTCTTCCCTCCTTCACGGGCGAACTGGTTCTGCAGAGACTCAAGCCCTAATGCCTCAGGCAGAGGTTCTCAAGGTGAGCCCTATGGCCTGGCAGCTTCAGCAGCATCTAGGAGCTTGTCAGAAATGCAAATTCCAGGGCCCCACCCCAGACCTACTGAATCAGAATCTCTGGGTGTGAGGCCTGGTAACATGTGTTTCAACAAACCCTCTCCATGATTCTGCCTTCAAGTTGGAGAACCTACTGCACTGAGGCATCTGGCGTATGAAATACGCTCACTCTGTCAGACACATCTAGGACGGCACTAGTTACACAGCATTCTTGAAAGAACAGAGAAAATAGTTCTTCAGACCACTTCTGTTCTGTGGTTCAGATGAGGGGCCAGTTGAAAAACACGACCGCAATCTTAGTTCATGTGCACTGCTGTTCTAAAGCCCTCTTCCATAGTAGCCCCAAACCGGAAACATCCCTAATATACGTTCACAGAAGGCGGTAAATGTTGGCCCCTCTATGCTGTGTAACACTACAGTGCCATGAAAATAATGAACAACAGCCACAGGCAACACGAACAGTGTCCCAATAGTGATGGAAACCAAGTTACGAAAGATGACATCCAATGTGATTCTATAAACACCCAAAGAGGGCAAAATAGACTGTTCAGGGATATACTCCAGGTGGCAAAACTACTGAGAAAGGCAAGAAAACGGGGACCACACAAGTCAGGCTGGCAGCTGCTTCTGGGACGGGGAGGAGGTGACAGGAGGCGTTCCAGGCAGTGGGCTCTCTAGAGCAGGTGTGTTCACTTCATGCCGGTCAATACATTTAGGGTACTTTTCTGGTCTACGTATCTCAGAATAAAAAAGAATAACTGGTTAAATGAAAGACCCCATAAACAGAGTTTCAAATAAACCACAGCCTGGAAAATATATTAGTATTATTTAGCAAGCATTAGTATTCAGAACAAACAATTACTTTTAAGATAAAAAAGATAATATGTTGGAAAGCACATTAGAAAAAAATCGGCAAAGGATTTGAACAGGCATTTCGCTAATACTCAGGGAAACAGAAACTGAATCCCGGTGCCGCGTCCTACTACCTGCTCTCTGCCGTTCGCATCTGCAGCCAGTGCGGTGCCATCTCCTCCACCATCTGTCTCCAGGACTCTGCCCCAGGCCATCCCCAGTTCTCAGGGGCACTTGTTCCACCGGTCAGGGGAAGCACTGGCAAAACCCTACCAATGGGAGAGCTCCCACATCCACTGGCTCCTTAAGACCCCTTTAGTACTCCTTTGACAGTCTAAAACACTGTGTAAGTAACATTCCAACTGAAAATATCTGAATTACCTCGCTCGTTTTCCCTACTGGCAGTAACTTAGGGTCATCTGAAACACAGGCGCTCCGAGGTGACGCTCTGCCTCTGCTAGCAGCTTTCAAATGCAGTTTTCTATCCCTGAGGGGAACTTACTGGGCACCCCACTCACGTACACACAATAGTCTTTACTCTGATGACATGAAGTCTATCACTATCATTTTTTTCACTTCTTTTTTTAGGAAGATGATCAAATGCTTCGACCATTCGTAAACCAACGGTCACAGATGTTTAAGGATTTGGGGGATCTACTTGAATCCAGCTTGTGGAAACTGAAAAAGGATGTTGCTCTTATAGTGAAAAAGAAGAGAGAATATTTACTGCATGTCAAGTAGTGAAGACACACCAACTAAAAACTGAAGATATTCAAGCTTCAAGTTGTGAAGATGATTTGTGTAGCTAACAAGCTTACCTCGTTTCCCACTTACTTTACCTATTTCTTCTACCAGTTTTAAGCAAAATCTTCTTTCCATGTGATTGTAAATCATCTCTGTAACCTAAAGGCTGCTTGAATGGCCCTCCGTTCCTGACGCATAGAGGGGAACCACACACACTGGGGTCTATTTGAGGTTGGAGGGTGGGAGGAGGGAGAGGGTGAATGATTAGCACTCGGAGCTCTGGGATCAGACTGCCGAGGTGAAATCCTGGTTGAGTCCATCACTTACTAACTGCAGGATTTGGGGCCACTGACTTGCCCTCTCTAAGCCCCTCTTTCCTCATTTGTTTTATGGGAAGGATAACAGTATTTATTGCAAATGGTTAATGAACGTAAAGCACTTAGAACAGTGCCTGAAACACAGACGTGATTGATAAGCATTCACCATTAATATTTTTATGGTAAACAGTTCAAAACTTCAAATGAAGCTCTTTTATCTATATTGCTTGCTGTCAGACCTACAGACAATGGTTATTTCATGTCTCTCATTTTGTATCTTGCTCTGAGCAAGTTTGAATTCTACCTCTACTTATTATTCTCTTCTCATAAGTTTATCTGAAATACTGTTATGTTCGATTTTTTCAGCAGCAGGAGTGCCCGTATGATGGGACCTTTTCAGTGTAGGGTCTGCAGTTCAAGGATTATAACTGTTAGTGAAAGCTCTGTTAGGAGTTAGTCTATCTTGAAGCCAATCTTGATTCCACAAATTAACTGATGGGTGTTAGTCAAGGATATGATAAAAAGCTCAACACCACTGATCATTAGAGAAATGCAAACCCAAACCACAATGAGACACCCTCTCACACCAGTCAGAATGGCTATTACTAAAAAGTCAAAAAATAAAAGATGCTAGGCTGGACATGGTGGCTCATGCTTGTAATCCCAGCACTTCGGGAGGCTGACGCAGGCGGATCACCTGAGGTTGGGAGTTTGAGATCAGCCTGACCAATGTGGAGAAGCTCCGACTCTACTAAAAATACAAAATGAGCCGGGCATGGTGGCACATGCTTGTAATCCCAGCTAATCGGGAGGCTAAGGCAGGAGAATCACTTGAACCCAGGAGGCAGAGGTTGTGGTGAGCCAAGATCGTGCCATTGCACTCCAGCCCAGGCAACAAGAGCAAAACTCCGTCTCAAAATACAAACAAACAAAACACAGATGCTGGCGAGGTTGCAGCGAAAAAGGAATGCTTACACACTGTTGGTGAAAGTGTAAAGTAGTTCAACCGTTGTGGAAAACAGTGTGGCTATTCCTCAAAGACCTCAAAACAAGTACCTTCCGACCCAGTAATCCCATTACTGGGCATATACCCAAAGGAATATAACTTGTTCTATTATAAAGGCACACACGTGTGTATGTTCACTGCAGCACTATTCACAATAGCAAAGACATGGAACCAACCTAGAAGTCCATCAACAGGAGACTGGATACAGAAAATGTGGTGCGTATACACCACGGAACGCCACGCAGCCATAAAAAGGATGAGATCATGTCCTTTGCAGGAACATGGATGGTGCTGGAGGTCATTATCCTCAGCAAACTAACGCCAACTAATGCAAGAACAGAAAACCAAACACCACATGTTCTCACTTATAAGTGGGAGCTAAGTGACGGGAACACATGGACAGAGGGGAACAACACACACTGGGACCTCTCAGAGGCTGGAGAGTGGGTGGAAGGAGAGGGTCAGGAAAACTAACAAATGGGGACTAGGCTTAATACCTGGGTGACAAAACAATCTGTATGACAAACCCCCTTGTCACTTTACCTATATAACAAACCTGCACATGTACCCCTGAACTTCAAAAAAAACAAAAACCTTTTGGGGCCAAAGACAGACTTCTTCTTCTTCTTCTTTTTTTTTTTTGACACGGAGTTTTGCTCTGTTGCCCAGGCTGGAGTGCAGTGGTGTGATCTCAGCACACTGCAACCTCTACCTTCTGGGTTCAAGCAATTCTCCTGCCTCAGCCTCCCTGAGTAGCTGGGATTACAAGGCACCTGCCACCAGGCCCAGCTAATTTCCGTATTTTTAGTAGAGACGAGGTTTTACCATGTTGGTCAGGCTGGTCTCGAACTCCTGACATCAAATGATACACCTGCCTTGGCCTCCCAAAGTGCTAGGATTACAGGCATGAGCCACCGTGCCCAGCCCAAAGACTTCTAATAACAACAGTGGTGATAATGTTGAAACTTTGTAAGTGCTTACACCATGTGCCAGGCACTAATCCAAGTGCTAACCATGTTAGCTCATTTAATTTTCACAATAATCCGATGAAGTTGAGTAACTTGCCTAGGCCATTGTAAGCACAGAGGCTGATGCCAGAGCCTGCATCCCTAACCATGATGGCCTACTGCCTGACGGTGCAGGACCATACCTGGGAGTCCTGGCTGATATGCAGAAAAAAATCAGGAAGGAGAAAATAAGGGGGTGACATCCTCACTCCTTGCTCCCTAAAATACGAAGTTAAGGAAGTCAAATGGGATGACGCTGAAGCTGCACTGGCAGGAGAGGCTGTCAAGGGCTCCAAAAAGGAACCTCTCTAGAAAGCCAAGGGAATCCAGGCTAGTGATTTCAGCTTAATAGCAGGGTCCAGGGATTCGTACGGGAGGCATGGGTTTTGCTTGCAGCTCAGGTCCTGACCACACACACAAGTGAACTGAAAAAACTGCTGTAACCGTGGAGCCCACATGTGGAGCACCTCGTGGTGACAGCCAGGACAGGGTCAGCAAAGGCCTCACAGAACCCTGGTAAGACTCTGTTAGTGAGACACAGCAACAGTAGAGGCTGGGCAGACTCAGTTCAAAAGACAGAAGCCATTCCTACTCCCAGTGGCCAGGCCGAGGGAAGTCTTTTGAACTGAGCCTCAATGTTTTTCACAATTAGCAGTTTACTCACCTGAGGTGAGTCATATACTTTCAGCAAATGGGAGCAGGCAGAACCTTGGGGGATTAAAAGGAAAATCAGGACGAGACACACACGTACCTCAAAGCCAGAGGATGGGGTCACACTGCTACCTTCAGAATCAGCGTCAACGCTCGAGCATACATTGCAAAAGCTAGAAACAGGGACAGGATAGCTTCACCTAGCGGTTCCCAAATGTGTATCAAAAACACGGAGGCTCCGACCTCCTGACCTCCTGAATGCAAACTCCTGGAGGCGCTGAGGAGCCGGGAGGCGCTGAGGAACCCGGAGGCGCTGAGGAACCCGGAGGCGCTGAGGAACCCGGAGGCGCTCAGGAGCCGGGAGGCGCTGAGGAACCCACTGCTGTTCTGTGACTCGGACGTGCAGCTCGTCGCGGGCTCGATTGCTCCGGCACCACTTTCTAATTTTAGAGCTGGTAAAGCCTTTCCTAAGGTCCCACAAGTTAGGGCACAGCTGAGGATCTGTATCTTGTGACGACCAGGCCAGGACAGAGGAAGCAGAGGTAGGCTGGGCAGTAGTACTGCCACCAAGCATCCCCGTCTTCGAGTTAGATGCCCCCCTTCTTCTTACAGGCAGAGCAGAAGGGTCTCCCAACACGAATCATAGTCCTAAATATTTCATGTTCCTCACTGTTTATAGAAATTCCATAAAGGAGTGGCTGTCTTGTTTAGTTAACGAACAACATGATCGCTCTGTATATATGTGTTTATTATATGCTTATTACAAAAGGAAAAGTCTTTTGCCTTATTTTAGGGCTTCCATGTAAAATCTAGTTAAAATACAAAAAGTAAATTAGAGAAAAATTCTGCTTAGGCAGTGGAAATTGACAGCAACTTACAAGCTGTATCCTTAAACCTAGTCACAGACATAGAATTAGGTAAAGATAAAATGATAAGCCCACTTATTGGCAAGAAACAGGTTAGGCCACTTAAGCAGCACGTTTCTACCACTATACAAATACGCAGGCAGGTCCAAACACTAAACCACCATTCAATTGACAACCCTTTATTTTTCAACTTAGGTAACAGTCCAAAATCAGTGTAGATGGGTGAAAAACTAGGCAAAAATAGCAAAGAGTGCAGTTTCATTTAGCAAAGGCTCAAGACAGCATGTGGAGACACTCACTGGAAGGTGGGATTCCCTTCCCGCTGCGGTAAGGCAAGCGGCAGCTCCTGTGGGACACTAACGCTGCTGCGCACCCTCCGGGAGCAATGCTGCTGCAGCACAGCATGGGCACTGCCTCCCCTTAGACCTGCCAGCTCATTCATCAACACCTACCAGGAACACATCAGTGAAAAATACGTCAAATATGAGTTCTCTCTTATAAGCAATAAAATCACAAAATCAGCTGAGATTTGAAATTTAGGGTAAGCTAGGACAATTTCCTGCTTTTTAATATATAGGTATTTTAGATTTGACAATCGTTTCCACATATACTCAGGCTTACAGAAGAGTTTCAAATATCAAACAGAGAAGCTGTTAATTCGCGCATGGTATGACTTCAGTTAATTCTTCCCGTGCTCAGACTTCAGAGCTGCTAATAACACTAAACTCAATACCGTGTTTGTTGAGTCTGTCAATCAACTTTGTTTTGGAAAAAGCTGCTCCAGGTGTGAAGACCCCGCCCCTAGAAAACAACAAGAAACAGTGCACTCAGCTCCTCTCCAGTCTCCTGTTTCACAGGCCTCACTATCAAATTGCTACAGAACCCATGAAAACCCGTCTTCTTGCTCATCACGGCTACCTTTGATTCCTTCCTAAAACCAGCCAAATGAGCAAGTAGCTATTAGTCAGGAGAAACCTGCACCACAGCCAACCCTATCTAGACTGGCTCCGTTCCTGGTGATCCTGTTTCCATTCTATGCCTGTGTCCAAGGCGCACACTGTGCGCCATCACCCTGAAGAACCGCTGTTGTTTATAAGGACAGTCCTCAGACTCGGGGGGATTAAAGAAAGACCCGAATGGAATAAATTTAGGTAATCAATTATTATTAAAGTGTAAACAGAACTTAAATTGGATGAAAAAGAAGTTTTTAAAAATATGATAGCTAACATTCATAAATGCTAAATATTTTCAAGGGGGACCTAAGTATTCGAAACAATTGTATATAGGTTTTACTATGTACAAATTTTACTTTTATTAATCCTGTTTTGGGTCATGCCCGATTTACTTCTCAGCAGCAGGACTCTGTTCATTTGAAAAGCTGGCCTCGTTTCAGGTGAGAGCTAAATGCTCCAGTAAGACAGTACGTCTGATCACCATCTAGCCAGGATCTCATGGTTCTGCTTATGCTGGTGTCAGGCAGGGTTAGCACTGCCAGCTGGGTGTAGTTCAGCACTGACTGGAGGCTCCTAGTAATACTACTTAACAACAGGGACCTGTTTTGTGTGGCTGGCTCTGGACTTGAGCTATTTTTATAAAGAGCTGAAGTTAACTTATGGCTCTCCGACTTTTCTGTCTCCTCTCATTTACCTCCACAGTTGTTCCTCTGGGACCAGCTCTGGGCTGGTAAGAAGCTGTCCTTCTCAAAGTTTTAATTTACCTATATTTTTGGAGCAAAGGAACTGAACTATAAATGCTTATGTGCAAACCCAAAGCCTGAAAATCAAATCAAAATAAGCTAAAATATAACACAGATAAAAAAGATATCTTCTGATTGGAAGAAAACCAAACTTACGCCTTAGGCAGATCAGAAGCATCATTTAGAAGAGTCATGGCTGCCTGGACCATAGCTATGGGGGTAGCCACATAGCCAGCCTCTGCAGAAAACAGTTGATCAAGGAAAAAGAAAGCATTCATGAAGTATCCATGCAATGACATCAAAAATCAAATGGTAGATTTTATATCTCACTCTAGGTGTGCAGATTTCTTTTCAATAGATACTCTAGTCACTTAACAAAAATAACATTTCTATAGTATTTATTAAGTGTTAGGAACTGTACTGTTTTAAATCTATTAACCTCATTTAATTTTCATAACAATTATTTAAGGTCAATATTATTTTTATCCCATAGAGAGAGAGGTTAAGTGACTTGCCCAAACTAACAGGTAGTGACTGAGCCAGAATCGCACCCAGGCAGCTGGTTCCAGAGGCCACACTCCCACCCACTGCACCGCACCGCACCGCACTGCTTCTTGACAATCACTGAAGCCAATGATCCTGGCCGATCCCTATCTGTATTCACACACTTCACTTAAAAACAACAACAAAAAAAACCCTCTCAATTTTTTTCTTAAAGAAAAATGACTAAACACGAGTAAGTTAAAAAAATGTTTATAAACAAATGGAACATTAGCATTTATAATCCTGTCAAATAATGAAAATACAATCAACTTACCTTAAAAAGTCAGGTGGGAATTTGAGAAAAGGGCAAGATGGAAACATACTATCATCTGGCTTGATTAAAATCCCCGCGGGCCAGGCATGGCAGTTCATGCCTGTAATCCCAACACTGAGGATTGAAGGCTGAGGCAGGAGGATTGCTCGAGCCCAGCCTAGGCAACATAGTGAGACCCCGTCTCAATAAAAAATAATAGCCTGTGACCTATCAGGGCTGACAGTAATTATACCACAGTTCACAAGTGGACCTGTCTGTCTCTGACAGTAATTATACCACAGTTCACAAGTGGACCTGTCTCTGCACAGTTCTCTAAAATGTATAGCAAAAGTTCTTGAATGTTTTTGGGCAACATTCTTTTAACAACCTATCAGAAGCCATTCCCTTCCCTTGAAAAGTGCACGTGTGCATACACATTTTACAAACAATGTCAGGGTGTTCAGAGACTAAAGAAATCCTAAACCACAGATTTGACTGATGTTATAATTACATTGCTTGCATATGAGACTCAAACAGGTAAATACCAAACAATCCCTTTTCCTATTAATACTAATTAAAACTTGCCATTCGGAATTATTGAATCAGGCTCCAAAAAAAGCCAGAGGGAAGGATGCACTAATAAAATTGGATTATATCAATAATTTCAATCTTCTTTTGACAGAATAATTTTAAGTTACTTAATTTGTACAAATGTATTTCTAAAACAAGTTTTAAAAAGAACATATTGTAATGGCATTCTACTTTACAGCTAAGGGTACAAGATTCCCAAGCATTCTTAAGTGATACGTGAAATACCTGGTCCTTTCACCTGCGTACAGATTTTGATATTTGGTTTGTTCTTATCAGTACCAATGCCTTGGCTGTATCCTTGACCAAAGAACGTCAACGTGAATGAGGCAGCATCGATCTGTGAAAGAGAAAGCAAAGGGCGCATTTCATAAATACGTCATTTCCTCCTGGAACATAGTAAAACCGACTATTCTATTTCAAGGGAGACATTTTCAACAGATGAAAACATTATTTTATCTGCCAGAATATCCTGTCATCATTTAAGCATGGAGCAAAAATTAATTCTTTGAAGCTGTAAGTTTTGAAGACTGATGTGATGCTGGGGGGAAGGGGAGTGGTAAGAAATAGGGAAGAAATAAAGATGAACTGGAAATAGTTTTTATTGGGGGACAGAATATAGAAATCTGGTTTTAGATACCTATTTGAGGCGATAAGACAAAAATAACCAGCAAGTAATGGAAATATGGGCCTGGAGTACAGGTATATAATTGTTCCATAATTGTTCCACTTAAAGATGTAAAAATTCGACTCAAAAAATTAAATTATAGAGGACTTATCCTAGCATGTTTCACAATCACTAAATTTAGGAATGAGGTGATAAAGAATTCAATCATGATACTTAATAAAAAACACATTTTTATTAAGTATTAACTAAGGGTCAGTGACCATGTTAGGCCCTGAGACATAAATATATGATCACTGCCTTTCCTGGAGCTTACAGTTTAATAGGAGGGAAGGGGGAGAGAGAGAGAACCAGATTAAATGACAATATGAGACACGAACTAAAACACACAGGAATAGCTCAGAGGAGGGTGTTGCTCATCTACCAGGCAGAGGGCGATGGTTCTGAAGTGTACACACACACACACACACACACACACACAAACACATTTTAATATCTTTTTTTAAAACCCAAAAAGTAGATGGATTCCAGAAAGGAGAACCCATTATTTAAAGGGAAGAAGGGATGCAATCGCATAGCCTTTCCAGAACATACAATTCAAGAAGTACAGACGAGGTCAGATACACAGGCCACACTTGTCCCCTCTCCTGCTATGGTGCCCACACTCATGGGTTCTAATCCTCCCTCAGGCTACACACACTATCCAACCCAGCATAGTCTCCGGGTGGCTCCTACCAATCAATCTCAAAGTTGGATGAAACATGAAACCGATGTGCTACCCAGAACTAGATCATGAAGGGTCTAGGACGGCCTCACATCTCTGAAGATGGACTTCCGGCCAGTTGTGCTCCAGGGGTGGGTACAAAAACCACTCAGATCTGGAACCTTCTTCCTTCCTCCACAGCAGTGATTCTCAACCCTGGCAGCACATCAGCGTCACTGGGCAGGTTTAGAAAGCCCCAGTGCCCAGGCTGCATTCCAGACCAACTGAACCAGAGTCTCTGGTCATCTGTTTTGGCTTCTCTTCCACAGTTGGGAACCAATGCTCTATGCTTTCAGGCCCCACTCCAGACCCACTGAATCAAACTGTCCAGAAGCAGGATGAGGGCATGTGTAGGTGAGAAAAGCTCCCTAGGTGATTCTTTTTATTATTATTATTTTTTTTTTGGAGACGGAATCTCGCTTTGTCACCAGGCTGGAGTGCAGTGGCATGATCTCGGCTCACTGCAAGCTCTACCTCCCGAGTTCAAGCAATTCTCCTGCCTCAGCCTCCTGAGTAGCTGGGACTACAGGTGTGCACCACCACGTCCAGCTAATTTTTGTGTTTTTAGTAGAGACGAGGTTTCACCCGCCTGCCTCAGCCTCCTGAAGTGCTGGGATTACAGGTGTGAGCCCCTGTGCCCGGCCATGATTCTGATATATGAAATCTCAGTTGAGAATCACTGATACAGCAGTGGGTCAGGACGGCCATGGTTCTGATACATGAAGTCTCAGTTGAGAATCACTGATAAAGCAGTGGGTCAGGAATATTTTATAAAGAAGGCAATGACAAGGTCAGATTTTCTGTCTTAGAAAGATCTCTTGGACAGCAGTGGGAAGAAAGAAAGCACAGGAAGGCTATGAAAAGTTGAAGCAAGAGACGGAAGCCTGCACTACCAGCCACGAGCCGGAAGCCTGCACTATCCACAAAGTAAAACAGCAACCCAAAGAATAACAGAAAATATTTTCTAGTCCTTTTGTTCATTTTTGAATTGGGTTGTTTGTTTTTTGTTGTTGAGTTCTAGGAGTTCTCTTTATTTTCTGGATATGAATCTTCTGTCAAATATATGATTTGAAAATATTTTCTTCAAAGAAGACATACAAATGGCCAATAACTGCAAATGAAAAGATGTTCAACACTAATAATCATCAGGTAAATGCAAGTCAAAAATACAGTGAGACACCTCCTCGCGGTCACTACAGAAAATAACATGTCGGTGAGGAGGCGGAGAAACTGGAACTCTCGTATCCTGCTGGTGGGAAGGCAAACGGTGCAGCAGCTCTGCAGAACAATTTAGTGGTTCCTCGAGAAGTTAAATATATAATTTACGTATGGTCTAGCATTCCATTTCTGAGTATATGCCCAAAAGAATTTAAAGCAGAATCTTGAAGAGGTTATCTGTACACCCACGTTCGCAGCAGCATAACTGGCAATAGCCAAAAGCTGGAGGCAACCCACGTGTTCACTGATGAATGAATGGATGCACAAAATGTGATCCCAACAGGCAACAGACAATCATTCACCCTTAAAGAGGAAAGAAATTCCAACATATGCTACAATGTGGATGAACCTTGAAGACCTTATGCTAAGTGAAATAAGCCAGTCACAAAAAGACAAAGACTGATTCCACTTACATGAGGCACTTGGAGTCATCAAATTCAGAGAGACGGAAAGTGGAATGTGGCTGCCAGGGGCTGGGGGAAGGGGAATGAGGAGTTACTGTTTAATGGGTGTAGAGTTTCAGTTTTGCAAGATGAAAAGTGTTCTGGACATGGATGGTGGTGATGGCTGCGCAAAAATGTGAATGTACTTAATATCACTCAACATTTTAAAATGGTTAAGATGGTAAATTTTATGTTTTGTGTATTTTACCACAATAAGAAGAAAAAAGAGGCTGGGCGCGGTGGCTCACGCCTGTAATCCCAGCACTCTGGGGGGCTGAGTCGGGTGGATCACGAGGTCAGGAGTTCAAGACCATCCTGGCCAACATGGTGAAACCATGTCTCTACTAAAAATACAAAAAAATTAGCCGGGCATTCCTGCACAGTGCTTACGTTAAGTGCACAGGTGGGGGGATTAGCCTTGTACAAGGGAATATATCATCCAGAGAGGAGGAAAGAAGTCAAGATGGGAACAGTGATGATAGGTCTGAAGGTAGGAATTTGAGGGGATCCAAAACAGTGCTCTCAGTTATTTTAGTGAGGTAGGAGTTGGGATAATTTGCAGATAGGGAAGACAGCTGCAGTTGGGTAGATTTTGAAAAAAGCCACTGAGAGGAAATAAGAGGCAGGACTAATGAAAAGGAAAAGAATCAGCAAGTGATGCTAACATTCCACAGAGGGGGAAATGGGAACCTGCTGCTACCATCTGTTCAGCAGTGGGATTTCCCCCGGGGTGCCTGGTGTCAAGGAGATGAAAGCTAATGACCCAAGGCCTGAGCCAGGGTTGGGATCTGTGAGCCAAATGGTAGAAAATGAGGCAGTCCTATTGTTAGAGATACTGGACACACAGAAATTCACTTGATCCACCATCGGAATCCAGGGGGTGTGGAAGAGGAAGTGAAACTGGGGGCAGAGGCGGCACAGAGGAAAAGCTAACAGAGGAGAAAAACGAGGAGGAAAAATATTTGAGATTTCCAGAAGTGAAGAGAACATAATTTCTGGAGCTAAATGGCTGGGTTCTCATCCCAGCTGGGGCATGTACTAGCTGGAGAAACTTGGGCAGGTTTCTTAGCCTCTGTGTGCCTCAGTTCTCTAATCCGTGAAATGGAGATAATAATAATACCTACATTCAAGGGTGTTTGAAAAGATTCAATTATCTAATTTACATAAAGCACTTAAAAGAGTGTCTGAAACACAGTGCCCTGTCAAGTGTTAGATGATACTGTCATTGCACTGAGGAAAAGTAAAAACAAAGAAAAATATTATTTTAGTGTCTGAATACAAAAGAAAGGATTACCTGTTTTTGTGTTGGGCCTTGTTTTGAAAAATAGCCAAAGGAGAAGAACCATGGGAACTAAAGGAAAAAACAAAAAACAGAAAAACACCTCAGTGATATTTTTTTAAAACCCATGGAAAATACTTCTAATACAAATAATCTAATTTCATAAAATCTTACTTACTTTTATGAGAAGTTGCCTTCCAATTCCAAACCTCACAAAGAATAAAAAGAAAAGTCCTGCAAACATCAGCTTAATAACAGAGGTGATTCCTCCCACAGTTACGTAAGCAGCATACTGAACCTGGATGATGGAGAATACAAAGTTAGAACAGTACTCCCTGCATTTTAGACCAAGTAATACAAGAATGTTAGCTACCTGTACCTTTCTCTTCCATCACAAATGTGGAACAAAAGCAGTTTCCACTTTACAAATGCATTATGTTCTGAAACCCTGTTCAGAAACCAGACACTGGGAGCCTATTCTCTGTCTTGTTTGTCAGACCTGGTGAACAGGAAGTGTGATTGTCTACTTTTTAAAGAAAATTGTTTATAAACAGTAATTAGCTTCCCCTATTTGGACACAAAAATCTACATAATCCCTAATGTATCTGAGCTTAGCAATCATGCATTACAGAATGCAGAGAATTTCCTAGGAGAAAATGCCCTCCACCTTTTAACTTGAAATATAGTTTCCTCCTGAAGTCTCGGCAATGAAAGCAATTACTTTCCTCACCAAAAGCAGCAGGACGGCACTCCAGGTGTGGCAAGGAGAGAAGGACAGAAAGAGTTCCAGACATTTCCACAAGCAAAAGAGTTTCTAGCAACTGAAACGCTAAACAGGGATTCTGGGGTGCTTATGACAGCAGGATTTCCCATACTGAATTTGCTGCTATTGTGTTACATTAAAAAGATATTCAGCAGCCAGATCTGAAGCAAAAGACAAGGCTGTAAAATACAAAATGTTCTACCCTAATGATTCTGTGTATTTCCAGAGGCTGAAACGTATTATTTAGCTCTTCCTTTTTCTGCCTTATGAACAAAAATATCCCACACTGAATAGATAGGGGAACTGTAACACACACAGAATATTCTTTATTGATAAATAAACCATATATACTTACTGGTGATTCCTCTAAATTTTCATACAAGTAACGTTGAGTCCTCTTCACAACAGACACATCAGATCCCATAAAAGGAATGGAATAACCTTTGAGTTCCCGACAATAAGAAATTGGCCACCTGCAAGACAGGCCTATGAATATTTTGCATTTCCTGCAGTTACAGCTTTGGCTGGTAAATGTCTGAATAAGCAGATCAGTGGCCGGGCGCGGTGGCTCATGCCTGGAATCCCAGCACTTTGGGAGGCCAAGGCAGGAGGATGACTTAAGGCCAGGAGTTTGAGACCAGCCTGGGCAACAAAGAGAGACTCTGTCTCAAAAGGAAAAAAAAAAAAAAAAAAACCAGAATGCTCCTTTCAACAGCCCAACCCTAAATTCTCATCTCTGAACTCCTCACATATGTCCTGCAGTACAAAACTAAAGTACATTTTTAAAAAAGAAAAAAAGTTCTCACATAAAATTTAGTTGACAGTTAATTTCTACATTGATAGGCAAAAGTCATAAAATTCACTTATTTCCTAGGATTCAAATGTTTTATTATATATGAAGTACTTAAGCTTATGGTAATGTATTAATTATAACTTATTTATCTGTGAAAACAATTCTGAACTTACTACAAAATAGTCCCCAAGCTTTTCTTAGTAACATACTTTATTAATAGCCAACCCAACAACAATATACTTAGACTACGTATATAAAAAATGGATTTTAAGTAAATATACCTTCTCTTCAATTTTGGACCAATGAGTGGGACAGGTTTCAGATTTGACGCATTTCGTAGTTTTCTCAAATTACTCTGATCTCCAAAACCATAAATTGCTGACTTCCAGGTACCATCATGAATGCTCAACCCCTAATAAAATATTTCAAGAGTTAAAGAAACGTGTCTTAAGGGATAGTTACAAACAATATTTCACTTATATTTGGACAAGACATAATCCCTTATTTAATAATCTTGAGGTGAATTTTCATGACCAGCTAGGGAGCAGTCACATTCATTAGCTCGATCATACTCAATATTTACACCAACAGAAGCCCTTTCTTTCCCCCTCCTATCATTCTTTATATTCTGTAATAAGTTACTTAGTTTTACTTCACCGATTTTACTCAGCTAATTGACCATATTCCTTTAAGATCAGCCACTCTAATCCTTTTTTTTTTTCTGCCCCATATGATCTGCAGAATAGCCACTCTAATCCTCTCTCGATCCTACACAAACTCCTCGACATTTCCGGATATGTCCGTGTGCACATTTATGCATACATACACTGTGTACTGTGCATCTCTCCATCCTGCTACACCTGGATCCCTGTCTACCTCCAACACCTCTTACTCCAGCCCCAAGTTATAGATCTGTCTTCCTACAGAAGTCTTGGTAAAATAATCTTTTAAAACATTTAAAGTTCACTAATATGATTTGTATTTTAATTGCTTTCCTCAGTCCCTTGATTTCTTTTTGGTATCATAGCCAGTGCAGAGTCCTTAGTATTTGCTTGATCTTACTCAGACTCTCATTTATTCACTGATTTTTCATCCTTTCATGAGACTTTGGGCTGTCAGTGCCTTCCATTCTACCAATACTCTTTACACCTTCCCCAACCCTTACCCCCAGCGCCACCGAGAAACAAGTGGCTGAGATGAGACCCCAGGAGAGGACATGACCTCTGAACTTACTATCACAGCGCTGGCCTTTTTTTTGAGACAGAGTCTCACTCTTATCGCCCAGGCGGGAGTGCCAATGGCACGATCTCAGCTCACTGCAACCTCCACCTGCTGGGTTCAAGCAATTCTCCTGTCTCAGCTTCCTGAGTAGCTGGGATTACAGGCGCGTGCCACCACGCCCGGCTAATTTTTGTATTTTTAGTAAAGACAGGGTTTCACCATGTTGGCCAGGCTGGTCTTGAACTCCTGACCTCAGGCAAGCCACCCGCCTCGGCCTCCCAAAGTGCTGGGATTGCAGGCGTGAGCCACTGCACCTGGCCTAGCGCTGACCTTTCTTTCCCAACCTCTAGGTGGGCCTTTTAATTCTCTATTACATGAATAAACTTCATTTATTATATTGATTGTACATCATTGTATTATGTCCTTCCTTCCATGTTGTTTACATTGTTTAGGTGAACAGAGTAATTCAGAAAGATTCAAAACTAATTCTGTCACAAGATTTTCAAAGAGGGATATCCGTGAGGCAGATATGACGGTACCTTTCATTGTTAATAAACAAACTAAGAGCAACAATAAAACCATCAAAAGATTCAGGTTTTCCTATCTCAGCTTTGATGATACTGAAAAGCAGAGATGCCAAATCTAACTTTCATTCTGGTACAGATTTATTTCTTCTGTTTTATTAAAACTACAACAGAACTAAAGTCTTAAAGGTTTGATTTGTTGTCTACTCAATCTGAGCCTAGCCAAAAGGGCCTATGTGAATCTACAAATGTGAAGATTCCAAGCACCAGGAGAAAACAGCTTTTTAAAAATCTAAAAATATTTTCTTATACGACTAAGCCATCAAAAATTACATTCAATTAAAAAAAAATTGCCTTTCACAGAAAAATATAGAGATGTACCTACTACAATTTTATTAAATTGTATATTGATATATGTTATGAAGCCAACGTACATGTAAACATCCAGGCCAAGAACTACAGGTGGCCAGCAACTAAGAAGGCCCTCCTTCCGTCCTGCCTTTACAGTAATCAAGAAAAATTCTTTTCTTTAGAGTTTAATCACCTCAGAATTCATCCCTAAGCATTACAATTAGTTTTGCCTGTTTCTAAGCTTTACAGAAATGCAATCAAGCATGATTTATTACTTAGCATTTGGCTTTTTATGTTTGAAATTGTGATGTCAGGATTTATCACGGGTTGTAAGTAACTCCTACACTGCAGCCAGCCTTTTGACTTTCTTACCCATGTGTTTTGGGAAACATTCTCAATTTTAAAAGTACACAAGTACATCACTTTTTCATTACATTTAATGCCTCTTTGTCTTTTTGTAGAAGCCATTCCCAACCGTGAGGGCTTCCATAATCCATCTAAACTTGATTTTTGTATAGGGTGCAAAAGTATGAATCCAATTCCATGTTTTCTCCAAGCAGACACTCAATTGTCCCAGCATCATCTCCTGAAAAGCCCCCTTCCTGTTCCTGCCGTCTTGAAGCCTGGAGGCCTGCTGGCAGGAGGAATTCTAAACGACAAGCATGTCTGGAAAGCTGTGGTCCAAGGCCATTTTGCTATGAGCGGGATCTCTAGAACCACAGGGCGGACACAGCTCTTCTTAACACTGAAGGTATTTATGGCTGAGATAAAATGAGATGTGATTTGGGCAGGAGATGCGCTAATGTGTACAAAGACTAATACTGACTCCTGGCAGCAAACCAGGCAAAACCACAGTAACGCGGAGAAAGGTGACGTGTGCCCACGGGCACAGTGGCACAAAGTGTGCCTAATTCCAGAGCAGCTTCCTGCTGAGGCCATAGGCATAGCAGCTCTGTGATGCTGTACGCCTCGAGGATCTGATCGAATGAAAAGTAAATAAATACAAATAAAAGTGGATTTGTAAAAAGAAAAGAAAAATGATAGGAAAAGCCCCTCCATCATATATCAAGGGTTTACCCTGACTTCATACCAGGTCTTCATACCCAGGAGTGTCTTGCTGCCTTTCTCTCTCTCGAGAATATCTTGCCTGTTCTCAGCCCTTTGAGTTTCCACACACATTTTAGAAACAGCTTGTCAAGATGCACATCAAAACAAAACAAACCAAAAAATCCGTTTGTGATTTTGATGGGAACTGTATGAGATTATAAACAAACTTGAAGAAAATTAACAACTACAAAATGGATTCATATTTTAATCCATGAATACGCTGGATCCTTCAATTTATGTCTTCTTTATGGCCCCTCAATAAACGTTTACAGTTTTCTTCACAGAAATCTTGTACACTTTCTATTACTTACTCTTAGGCACTTGATTTATTTAATGCTATCATAAATGGTCTTTTTTACAAAAATAATCACCTTCTAACCATAGCTGACATACAGAAATACCACTGATTTTTATATTAATTTCATATCCAGGAACAATAAAAACTACTGTGGAAATAAATGAAACAGAATAGAAAAACCAACAAAACCAAAAGTTGGTTATTTGAAGAGGTCAACAAAACTGATATATTTTAGCTAGGCAGACCAAAAAAAAAAAGAGGGAGAGAAAGAAAACCCAAACTACTAAAATCAGGAATAAAAGAGGGAACATTATTACCAACATTATCGAAATAAAAAGGAGTATAAAGGAATACTATGAACAAGTGTATGCCAACAAATTAGATAACCTAGGTGAAACGGACGCATTCCTGGGAAGACACTGTTATGGGCTGAATTGCATCCCCACCCAGAATCAGAAACTGAGATGTTGAAGACCTAACCCCCAGCACCTCAGAATGTGACCTTATTTGGAAAAGAGTTTTACCAGCAGTTCACAAAACTCTTGTATTAATGCTAATGTTATCTGCAAGTTCTTTTTAATTTTCTACATTCACAGTTATATCAGCCATCGAAAATAGTTTTGTTTCTTCCTTTCTAATCTATTTGCAGTTCATTTCTGTTTTCCCGCCTTACTCCCCCGACTAGGATCTGGCTGAAGTAATGATAATGGGCATCTGTGTCTTATGCCTGATGTCAGAGCAAAAGTTTTTAATGTTAAACACTGGGCATCACACTTCTTACAATTTTTGTTTGTTTTAAAGAGATGGGGTCTCTTGCTCTGACATTCAGGGTGGAATATAGTGGTGTGATCATAGCTTACTGCGGCCTTGAACTCCTGGGCTCAAGCTATCCCTGCCTCACCCTCCAAGTAGCTGAGACTACTGGTGCACACCACCACACCCAGGTTGTTACAGCTTTTTAAAAAAAAATCTTCCCTGCTATTGTTAGTTTGCTGTAAAAATTAAAAAAAAAAATTTTTATTATTATACTTTAAGTTCTAGGGTACATGTGCACAACGTGCAGGTTTGTTACATATGTATACATGTGCCATGTTGGTGTGCTGCACCCGTTAACTCGTCATTTACATTAGGTGTATCTCCTAATGCTATCCCTCCCCCGGTCCCCTCCTCACAACAGGCCCTGGTGTGTGATGTTCCCCTTCCTGTGTCCAAGTGATCTCATTGTTCAATTCCCACTTATCAGTGAGAACGTGGTGTTTGGTTTTCTGTTCTTGCGATAGTTTGCTGAGAATGATGGTTTCCAGCTGCATTCATGTCCCTACAAAGGACACAAACTCATCCTTTTTTATGTGCTGTAAATTTAATCATGGATATTACATTTTATCTATCTACTTTTCTCTACTGACATGATCATATGATTTTCTAACTTTAGCCTGTAATGAGGTAAATTATAGATTATATAGTGCCAAACCTTGCGTTCCTGCTCTAAAACCAGTTTGGTCAAAATATATTATTCTGTGTATATATCGCTATTTTTAATTTACTAAATTTTGTTTAGGATTTTTACATCTATGTTCCCATGAGACTAGACCGAACTTTTCCATTATGGAATTGCTCTTGCAGGGTTTTGAAATCAAAGTTACGCTAGCCTTGTCCACTGAATTCATTCAACAAACAACTATTGAGATGTTATTATGTGACCAGTACTGTTCTAGGTGTTCAGTGAATTAAATGAGGACGATCCCTCCTTATGCGGTGCTCGCATTTAGAGACAGTGATAAAGCTAACAGAAAAGGTCATATCTAGAATTTAGAAGGTGGGAAGCATCACAGCAGAAGAGAAAAAGGACAGCAGATAACATGAACTGCTAGTGCTAGGCAAGGGAGGTGGTTTGCAATTTTAAATAGGATG